GAGAGAGAAAGATGGAGGACAGGACGTCTGCCGTGTTCCGCTATTAGTTTATGATAAATTTTAAATGTCTGGCTAAAGGTCATAATTTTTAAATTATAACATATATTCAGAAGTCAGAGTCAATCACCTTCCAATCTTTCTAGCATTATTGAACAACAATTTCTTACACAAGAATTACAAATAGGAACATACAAATTACTTGATCAACGCATGGATCCTTAAGATGAAAGGAACAGTAAGTGTCTACATCTTTTTTATCATTATCATTTTACTTGTGAAGCAAATTTTAATTCAAATTACTATGACAAAAATTACTTCAACATCAAGCAATACAAACCTCTCCCATAAGTTGCAGTTGTTGCAATAATTCCCGCAAATGCTCTTCACCAGCGAGTGGGTTAACATTGCAGTGCACAAGTTCCACAAAAGATGGCCATGGCAGAACAGGAAAATTGGGTGAATTGCGACGTAATGCATGTAACCAGCTCACAACACCTTCAAGAAAGGCAGTGGTTCTTGGTACCTCCTGCATAACATAAACTATCATGAACAAATTTCCAAACAAATAGCCACAGTAGTGAACAAATAACCACCACTGCAGGCTCAATTAACAATTTTAATAATTGTCACAAATCACATTTCACTAGCATCCAGCCTTCTTCCATTCCCATATTCCAGAGAGACAATAGTTAGTCAACTTTTGACATGTTTAAAGCTAACGGGTGCATACATTTAGTTTATGTCATAATATGATTATTCTGAAGAGAAATAAAATTAACTTTACACTTCAAGTGCTTTTGATGAATATAATTTTTAAATTGAGCTCTGCATTTAGTTTTAATTTTGCTGGATGTCAATTTATTGAAATTCTTATTACAATTTAATGAAAGTTCTTATACTTGTATTTTCAATTAAACACAGAAAGTAGTGCTATCATTCTAGTGCTAGTGAAATATGAACAAAAATTGTCATTAAGAAAATTTGTGTCAGTGCCAGAACGTGAGGTGCAAAGCATTTATGTCATTTCAACTGAAGACAAATTTACATTCAGTTTAAATAGTGAAAGCCAAATATAACTAAAATATAGATCAGTCCTTCTTAGAGCATAAGTGCTGCATGTGCCAAACAACTGCAACAATTTAACAAATAATATGTCACAGGTTCTCCACAAAGTAATATATTCATTTCATATTGATGACTTCCTGACACACTACATACATCTACTCTACACACTAAACACATGTAAGTTTAAAAACTACAGTTCTATTTGAGGACTGTGATCACATTGAATCGAAGTGCAGACAGCTAAAGATAGCATTTCTGCTATAAGGATTAACACTTCAGAAGAAGTGTGAAATGAAAATAATCCATCTATCAAAAGGTTTGAATTTTTTTGGACATGCTATGGTATTTAACTGGCAATTTGAACAGAACTTTTAACACACGTAAGCAAAAACAGTCTACACAATAATCAGCATGTCCACTAGACAGATGTCTGCAAGACACATATAAGGAGATAAAGTAAGATATTAAGCACTGGAAAGTTGGAAACATAGATGTAGTTAGTAGTAATCATTTTGTTTAAACATAAAAACAATAGGTGGGCATAAAGGGTAATTTCCATGTACAAAATCTGCCACAACCACTGCCACCAAAACTACAACACACTCTAGGCAGCGTACGGCCACACAGGCACAAGGAAGCCTCCACCACACAGGCTCACAGACAGGCTGCCCCGAGAATGCAGAGCCGCAGGGGAGACCAACAGCCTCCCCTACGCTAGCGCACACTGCAAGAGAATGTGACAGTGAGGTTCATTGCTCAGTTGGTGTGGTTCAAACCAAATCAATACTTCATTCAGTGAGAGATGTGATTTCTGCAAAGACTAGACAATACACGTGCTCAAAACTGGTCTTTAGGTTGTGACTGCATTTTTTTCAACGGGGTATTCTTTTTTTGGGGTTGTGACTATTTTGTTTCAGTAGTATGTAATGACACATAAAAGCAAAATACATTAAAAGAGATGTTAGAAAAAAGTCTTTCACTGACCAAGAAAGCTGGAAAGTAAACCATGCACATATTTAAAGGTTGGAGAACAGGATAAAACATGCCTGATTCATTTGGGCATGGATTTGTCCTTTCCTCTCCTCTAAGCTATTCTAGACACAGGCATGCCCTGGACCAGAGGAGTTCTAGAAGTCTAATACACTTTGAAAGAGTAAAACAGAAATAGTACTAGCAATGGGGAAAACACTGAAAAATTTCACTGATCTTTCTAGAAAATAAACATTCGAGCACAGTTTCTCATCCACCACTCACTATTCTATTAACACTTAGAGAGTGGCTACATCAAATTATATGGACTTTTCCCAAGCCAGCCTAATAGCTTGGGACAATTACAGCACATCCTAAGACCAACTCTGCAGTGCAACAGCACAGCTACTCTAAACACAGCAAACATAAAGGTGACATCTACAAGTAGAATGAGGTAGGAAGGAGTAAATATCCTCATGTTTGCACTGCTTCTGGTGCAAACAAGGATATGTGAAAACAGAACAAGTAAATTTTCACAGCAATCTCTATAAAGTAACTGAAATGACACTGAAAAGAACTTTTTTTCCAATACAATTATGAAAGCTTTTTCTTTTAAATTCATTATTGTTGTTCTTTTTAATTCCTGGGTTATCTTCATCATCATTATAATAATTCCCTCTTCAGTTCCTACTAAAATGTCTCATAACTAGAGCAGCTTGATGTAGCCAGCTTCCTAAATTTTCTAAATAATAAATAAATTGTGAAATAAATGTCTTTTGTTTCTTTAACGTTGTAAACAATTATTTAAATTTCCATATTTGAACATAATTTATCATTTGTATTTAGAATTTTAAACATAAGAACAATATTTTGATTCTGATAATCTTGAACAAAGCCAGATGTGTGGCAAAAACAATTTTAAATTCCTAGACGTCTTTTTAGAAAAGATCGCAAGATCTCCTTACTGACTTGTTAATAACACAGTCAAATCTGTTTAAGCCGGAATCACTAGGGATAAAAAAAAATCAATTTAGGGAGGATTCCTTTTATTCAGTATTGTTTGTTTTGGACACTTTTGAAATATTGATATTCCTGCACTGAAACGTAGAAATTATAAAACTTCATTATCATTAAAATACTTGCACTTTTAAATATGTTTATATAGGAAAAACATCAATCATTAATAGAGAAAAATTCTTAGTTTCTAAATATAAATGGATGAACATCACTGTACAAAATCATCACTGTACACTACAATATTATCAATATTCATCCAATGTTTTTGCTTTTTAATTTTTCCACATTCTAATACATTTTCAACTATGTACTTTGATGTTGAAACACTTCATAGCAGTTCAAGATTATAAGTGCAAACTTTTGTAGCAGTACAAAACAAATTGCAAGGCTTCAGAATAGGTATGCACAGAACTAATTATTCCAATTACCATATATTCATATGACATCAAGTAATGTGACACTGGCCGAGGGTTACGTTCTCGAGGCAGTGCAGCGAGGTGTGCAAAAAGGCAACAAGAACTACGAGTAGCTTCCCATGCTTAGAGTGACCATTTCCTAATGCCAGCATTTGGCAAACCTAAACTTCATAGTGCACACTATATCAGGGTCAAAGCTGAGTTATCTTCACTCTCTGCCCTTCTCAGCGTCAGTGAGTGCAAACATGAAACATGGTGTCTTTAGATCTAACACTAAACAAGGTCTTTGATGAAGATGAACGTAATGTTTGAGCTCTTGTCACTCGGCAGGAGCAGATTCTGATATTCATATAACTTACTTTTTAATGGTACAGGCACAACTCTCTCTCCTCAGCATTGCTGCTTTACTATGATACACAATTCATAGGGACAGAGAACTTAAATCTGACCTGCAGGTACATTCCATTAAGAGTCTATCTCAGACAACCACCTCCAAATGCAATATTCACAGAAATTCTGCTTTATAAAAGGTTTTCCTCTCTTGCATGCATGAAAAATTTGTTTCAATTCGCATTGAACTGGTTCCATTTTACTCTGTATTAAATGCCATAAAGCTTCACGAAGCAGGGAAATTTTCTGACTAAGGAAGGTTTCCGGTTTGATCAAGAGACTCGGCTTCACAGATTTTTCCACATATATATATGTAATAATATTCATTTATGAGGCATATATGTATAAAATTACAAACTTGAATACTAATCTTGTTATCCCACTTCATATTTATGTTAGTCTTTACCATCAACACAAATTATTACTAACTGTGCAATTCTGTAATATATTAATTTTATATTATTATTTTTTCAGTTTATTCAAATATTTGAATGAGAATAAACATTTATGTATTATACAAGGTCTTTAAAACAATTTAGGACTACAATATTTTTCTTTAAAATTTTCTTGTCTATCCTTCCTATCTCATCTTAATTGCAGGGTGATTTGGATAGGTGGAACAGTCCTCCTGTAATGGGTAAGACTGCACCTCGTGCCACAGCAAGCACCGGTACACTGCACACGACTGCTGGATACTTAACTGGCTCCGGGGCCTCTCCTGATGTGCCATCTGCCAGTAGACGATATTTTCTGGTTGTGCTGGACGCGACGAGGACGTCGTCGGAAAGGTTGCCCCTATACCAGCAACAAAATACACACATACTCTACCATGCACTGAAAATCCGCCACATCAGCTTGCACCTAGAGAACATGCATCTGCAATACTTCCACAAGCAGGAAAATATTACCCGAGAATTATTGACAACTGAAAGAGATGAAGTATTAATGTATAGTTTATGTACATAAATATAACTTAAATGACACTCCAAATATTTATAAAAATATCATTCATTTTTTATTTTTATTTCTTCTTCAATTGTTTGCAGCTAATTAATATACAAATAAGAACTGAAAAAAAAAAATCTAAAGGAAAAAGTCTTTCAATTTATAGTACATTTCAGTAAAAAACATTGCAAAATATACAGTCGACTTCGGTTGTAGTGAACTTCTGATATAATGAACCACCGGTTAAAGTGAACATAAATCACTGGTTCCAATTCACTACATTACAAATAAGCACTAAGAAAGATTAGTTATAGGAAACTGAACCTCAGTTATAGTGAACTCTGGTTATAGGATATACAAAACCTTGAAATGGTATTTCCTCCTGGAAAAAGAATTACCTCAGTACTACAAATTCCAACACTAGCTCTTGAAGAAATATCAGTCAAGGTCATAATCGAAGAAGTCTCCTGAGGTGAACGAAGCAGACCGGAATGGGGACCTTACTCACTTCATGCCACTCAGTTTCAAGCTTTATATTATTTGAAATTCCTCAAGTTAAGATATTTGAATTCTATTTAGGCAACGGAAGCATGAGACAGCTCCTGATCCACCACCATGCACATGGAAAAAATCAGTTTCATTAAGCCACTTGCGCCTGGCCGTACCGAAAGGATCTCGTATATTATTAGGCATGTAAAAGGGCTTTGAAAGTGGGGCTTGCAACAGGCATGAGGCATGAAAGGGACCAAGACTGCATTACGATACTTGAGACAGTGGATCAAGTATGGTGAGACCAGAAACTCTTGGAGAAGGATCTAGGGAAATTAGTAATGAAAAATGTACAACAGCAACAATTGAAAAATTACTTGATTTTTTTAAGGACAAATAAAGATATTGAAATTTTTAGTTCATGCTGTTAATGAGTACTTCTACATATATTAATAAAATCAATAATTGTGGAGAAATTCTATTTAATTTTGACATCCTCGGATATAGAAAATCTCTGATATAGTGAACCAAAAATGTTAGTCCCCAGAAGTTCACTACAACCAGAGTCAACTGTACTTAGTAAGAATAAAGCAGTATTAAACTGTCTTCTTTCTTGTGCATAAAACATAAAAAATGACTATTATTCTACAAAAATTGACACATCCATTTATAGGTATTACAACACCAGAAGTAAAAAACACAATTAATTTACAACACAAAAAGTGTAATAACAAATAGTAAATATTTGTTATTATTACAACACAGCTTGAAGATCACAAAGAACAATTCACTTACACTAAGACCATAACTCTAACACAGAAGGCAAAAGAAGAAGTTAGAGAAACAGAAAAGAAAGAAGAAAAAACAAAAGAAGAAGTTAGAGAAACAGAGAAAGAGAAAAAGAAAAGAAAGTAGGTAATCATAAGATAAAGAAATGAGAAAGAAGCACAAGAGAAGAGTAGGAAGACCAATAATTTTCAAAAGGATCACAAGACAAATATTTACTTTCTAAATATATTGCAAATAAAAAATATTAAATGTCCATTATCTCTAATATTATGTAAATGTTAAATAAACAGAAAAAATTAAATATGAAGTGAAAATTATTGACTTACCTGTAATACCTGACGTTTGCCTTCAGCCAGGTAATTTTTAATTGCCTTTATACCAGGACCAGCTGGCACATGAGAATCCACAACGGTAACATGATCATGGATGTCAAAGAGTGTGCCGAATCGCTCACGCACTTGTTCCAGTACACGTTCAGCCTGTGAGCTGACATAGGCACCAGAAGCAGTACGTGGAGTGCGTGTTGAATCAGCATGAGTTGCCACAAGGAGAACACGCGCCACACGGTTTGCCACACCACGATCCCCTGCACAGGCATGCACATGCAACCAAACAATTATTAGTTTGTATTTACTATACTTCACCCCTCCATTGCAACGAGAATGAAATGTAATTCATTCCTGGACAATTTTATGATTATTGTACATCTTTATAAAATATCATGAACATTGTATTTCTCCATAAGAAGCACTATTTTACAATTTTTACCTTCTACAGAGATGACAAAAATGATTTGAGCAAGACATTCATTTAACATAAAGGAAGTGAAAACTCAATTTCAAAATAAAGTAAAATTTAAAATTTTACTACTGTTTTTCACACTAAATAGAAATTCCGCTAAATAGAAAATTGTGTGTTGAAGGCAATTTATTTTTCAAAAGAATTCTTGGGCCATTTCAATATATTTTTGCTTGTTCTCCAATACTTTTAGAGAAGATTAAGCATAGATAAAAAAATGAATTTTCCCCTTAATTATTGAAATTATAATTTATGATAATGTATGAAAACGTTATTTTCATTTCCAACTATGTCTTGGTAGCAAATTATTTTCAAAGTGTAGAAGGCACATTCAGTGTTATCAGTGACCTTTCAGTCAAAAAAAAAAAATGTTAGATAATGTGATCACTCAAATATAAAGACCTGAAATCAGATAAACATTCCATTTTCCTTGTGTTATCATAATTCTTTCAACATAAATGCCCATATCAATAGAAATTTAAAACATGAATATATAAATGTTTCTGGATGCTGATACTTAACGTAGAAAGTGCAATAGAAAAGTCATTAACCTCTGATATAATCTACTTTAGAAACACAAGCTTTGAAAACAATGAACTACATAACAGTGAATCAAAATAAAGTATCAGAATATCAAAACATAATATCAATGTAAAACATAATGTAAACAATAATTTTGTAAATGTATTTGCCATAACACAGATAGTAATTCAAATGATTTTCAAAGCACTTAAGCTTCAAACGTTCATCTAAGTTTGTTTGCTACTATTTGATATTTACATACCATGGAAAATGAGTTGCATCAACTTCAAATTTTGGCATTATTAATCACAGAGATGCAATCCATTCAAATGGTTTATGGATGTATAAATATACTACAATACTTATGAAATGTTACAATGGATTATAAATTATCCTGTCCTTTCCCAACAGAGATAAAACTTAAATACATTGAATATTTTTATCTATACACATTACAATACAGCAGTTTTGTAGCTGTTTTGCCATATTCTGAAGATTTAAAAATCACAAAAAGCATTCAACTACAGTACGCATCAAATTACATTTTGTTTATCTAAATCTATTAGGTACTATCAGAGTAATTGCTCAATTGTATCCAAATATCATACTTCTTTAATTCCTATGAATAATTACTTCCAATGGCATCATTACAATAAATTTATTTCACTATACTTCTAAGAACTACATTAGCAAAGACATATAGCACTAGATAATTTCAGTTAAATTTAAGACTACTACTTGCCACAGGTCTCTCAAAGGAGTCACTGAAGGGAGTCTACATCTGAAACTACACTCTATGGCTACACTACCACACCACTACGCAGGCGGCCTGCTCCGGGGCTCAAGAAAATATGTCGGCCCCTTTGATGCTTACATTATTTTGACAAGCTTCGTAGGACCCCGTCAAAGTTGCCTTCTGTCCTCGCATCTTCTAGCTAAGGTATTAAAAACAACAGACCCTGAGGAGTTGGCATGCAGATGCATATGAGTTAATGAATTATTTTCAACTGGACAAATGATATCTGCCAAAATATTATGTCTCACCTGCAATGTATTTTCAAGGACTACAATACAACTTTCAGAATACATTAATAGATCAAGAGAATATATAAGAGTCACTTACTGTTAAAAAGTTATTTTTCAATTATACATGACACATTTATTAGAGAAATGAAGATGACATCAAAAATTTATTTTCTGATGAAAGGTCAATTTGACAGTGGTACACAATTTTGACAATTTTTTTAGTATCAAAATGTGACTGAAAAGATAAAAATCATAGTCCTCTGGTACTTTGTAAATCATTGAAGGTTATACGATAAACATTTTAGTGGCAGATGCCATATCTTCAATCTTCAAATCTGAATTACATTTCCTTACTACTAATATCCATATCTCTTTAGAATGTAACAGATATAAATATGGACTTTCTTTTTAACTGTGAATAAATCCTGGGACAAAGTAAAATGAATGGAAAAGCATTCAAATTTTCAAGTTGATAATCCTAAAACATTACAAATTAAAAATACTGTTTTCAATTGAATACTGTGCACCTTCAAAGACATTTCATTTCCCTTCAATCAATTCTTTAACATAATTATCTTGACAGGATATTTTTATCTCTTACACACTAAAGACAAAATGGACTTCAGATCTCTCCATTTCATTGCATTTTCTACATGGGGCAGAAACCTATGATAGTAGACAAACAATGGCTGCTCCATGTTCATACAGTTGAAGAGGCAACTATCCATGCTGAAAGCCAATGTACTTACCGAGAGGTTCAGCAGGAGGAATGCGTGCTTGCAGAAAACTAAGCCAGAAGCAACACTGTTGAAGCTGTGCACTGGGTGGGTCTTCCAGATTGAACACCACAACATGTAAGCAATTGGTATTGCCAAGAAATCGGTCATACACAAGGAAATATGTATCTTGCCCAGAAAATTCCCACAAGGACACATCACCAGGCCCTGACAAATTCACCTGAAAAGTCAATTAAAAAATAGCCCTGTTAAAACTCTATTGTGTATTTCTGTACAACTTACTGTATGACAACTGTTACATCGTTATCATCAAGGCATCATTACAAGTTCATATAACCACAAGCATTTGAAAAGAATATTCATATTGCTATAAATTTAAATGAATCATTACTGAAAGAAAACAATTTCAGTATGTTAATATTAAAAGATTTAATAATCACATTATTAGTAATAAAGAAAAGGTATTAATGCAGTGAAACTCCTATGTAAGGTAAACCAACAATTAAGGTAAAAATATATTCCCCAAAAATATGACTGTTAAAATTGCTGAAATAATGATCACACTTTCTGACAAAGTGATTTACAAGTGCTTCTTTTTTTCCTCCCCCCTCTAAGGGTTTCCAGAAGGGGCGAGCCAGGGCAACTTGCCCCACACTCCAACTTAATTGGTTCCCCAAATATTGTTTTTCATTCAAAGCAAATAAAAAATGTATTTACTTCTAATTCAAATTAACCACAATAAGTCATTTTTGTTGCATGGGAAATAAATTCCATTTATTTGGTGTAGGAAGTAGGGCACACTTGTTTTTCTCTGTTAGTGACTAGCCACTGCCACTGATCTTTTATTTGAACATAAAAACAAAAATCATCCATTAAAAATTTGTACTTAATGGTTTTTAAATTACCCTACTCTAACCCCTGTTTAATGTATCTGCTTCATTTAAAGTTTTTTAATTTTTTTTATTCTCTCTCTCTCTCTTGCTCTCTCTCTGTTTTCACTTATTACTCTGAAGACACAACAGAAAAAGCTGAAATCCAACAAACCTGTTGCACATTGATTCCACGAGTATATTGATAATTGTAAGTATCAAAACTCAATGATGTGCGAGAGGATGTTACATCCATTTCAATCTGAGTTTTACTACCAGGAGAAGTTGAACCTGAAGACAATCAACAGTACACATTCAAGAATTAAGGCATCATTATTAAAAAATGTAAAAATAATTAATAAAAAATAATATAATTGAAGAACAGTATTGTTTATTAAAATCCCTCAAGCATTGGGAGTTTGAAAACTACAAGAATACCTGAGTGTGTGTTGTTTCCTGGAGTACTTTTGCTTTTGCGAAAAAAGCTGAGAAAATAGCCAGCCTTCAGAGACTCAATTAGGGTGGACTTGCCCACTCCAGAATGTCCAAAAAACTTGACATTAATTCGGCCCAAAGGCTGAGAAGTGGGAATAAGTTGTTTGATGAAGTCCTCTCGTTGTGAACTCTAAAAGAGATATAGATTGTCTCACATACACCAAGATATCTGAATGTACTACATAGGAACACAACAACCTACATTTCGCAGACGATTGAGAAGATCACCTATATCATTAAATCCATGTTTCAGAGCAGTTATTTCTGCTTTAATACCATCACTATTTTTCTGCTCAATGTTGCATCCAGCAAGGCATAGGCACCTAAAAATTAATGTAAAAAAATAAACAATAACAGAATTATTTAACACAAATAAAATTAATACATATTGTTTTACTGTTATATAATTTATTTTTACTTCTTGTAAATGGGATGAGGGATTGTCAGAGGGGGTTCTTGTGCGGGTTACAGATGCATTACAGGGGGGAAAGAGGGGAATTCAAAATATTCCAAATTTGTCTTGAGTGATTTACAGATGGCTTCCAAGGATAATATTCAACAATCTAACCCATATATAGAATTTTCCTCAAAGTGGATAATCCCAGACAGATATGGCCAGACTCGAGGTTCTGCAAATTTGAAATTGAGCGAGAGGAAACGTTAAAAATCTTTAACTTCTGAAATTTTTGAAATTTTGAAGGTTTTAATGAAAATCAAAATTTTCAATATTATTAAACATGCTTTGTTCTGTTTGATAAAAATATGTGGAGCAATGTTTGAGAAAATTTTGAACATGCTTTTAGGTTTCGTACGATGCACATACTCCCAAAAATTAAAAGATAAATTTCAGTTTCGCAGTACCTCAAGATTGGCCAGATCAATCAAGGATTATCCACTTTGGGGGAAATCCTACGTATGGTTTAATGTTGTTCACAGACAAAGAAATGAAGTTGGACAGTTTAGATAGACAAGCAAGCATCAAGACATCCAAAAAAACAAAAAAAAAACACATTTTCTCAAAATTGGGCATCTTAAAGGAATGTATTTCCATCAAATTCTCGACATAATCATTTGCATTATATAACTTTCTTTACACTGTGTAGATGAGAAAATAAAATTAAGTTTAAACATACCGTACAATTTCTGTGTGACCATGCCGGGCAGCCAAATGTAATGGATAAAGACCATTTCGGCTGGCAACATCAACATTACATCCAAAAGCACACAAAGTTTGGGCAACTGTAAGTAACCCCTCACGGGCAGCTATGTGAATTGGTGTTTCTCCAGCCTGATTAAAACAAATCTTCATAAATAGAAGTGTATTTGAAACAACACTTCTGAACAAGAGCACAAAAGCTGTTACTCAAACTCCAATACAATATTTTCTCATTTTATGTTTTGGCCTCTTAAACCAGATCCACAGTAGAACAGATTTCAATGCTATAGTGGTAGAAGAATAGCAAAAAGATTGATAATTCTTTAACATGTTTCAAATTTATTGATTTGGAAAAATTAATTTGAAAATTTCATATGCAAAATAGGGGAAAGAAACATAATTGTTTTATCAAAAGATCAAACTTTCAAAATTCAGTAGCTTTGTTCTAAACCATTACTTCACCTTTTTAATTGATACAGTACTGAATTGTTCTATACCACTACTTCATCTATTTAACTAAAACAGTAATGAAATGACATTGATTCAAAGAAATTACCACATCCTGTAGGTCTATATCAGCTCCAGAATGCAAAAGAAACATAGCACAATGAGACTGTCGTTTAGCCAATGCTTGATGTAAAGCTGTAGCCCCACAGTTGTTTGCTAGATCCAAACTTGCACCAGCATCCACTAATACTCGTAGGCAGTCTAAATGACCTCTGCTACTAGCATAGTGTAAAGGACTATCACCTTCCTGGAAAAGATTATCATGTGACTAGCAATCTCATTTTATAGAAAAACATACAGCAAGGGCTTTTTTTATGTAAATTTTAAGTATTTCTTTAGGTTTTTGGTTTTAAATCTAAGAAAATAACTTGCAGTTACTCCATCTTTCTCATTCATTAAATAAATCTAAAAAACTGGGTGTCTTTACAATTGATACAAGGTTGGGATTTCACTTTCAAATATTAAAATAGAACAGAAACTGCATTTAAACACTACATTTTGAATAAGTACAAAAACACGGTTTTTGGTACAAAGCTAGGTTTTGGTATCCAATTCCACATAAAGCGGTCGATTTAATATTATAACCATACTTCTGCAGACAATAACAGATACAACTGGACAAAACAGTCTCAAGAATTACTAAAAGATAATTATAACAACAATCATTAACTGACCTTGTTTTGACAACTGATAGTAACACCTATATTAACAAGCATTTTCATTGTCTCTGCTTGTCCATGTCGTGCAGCCCACATCAAAGGGGTGTCGCCATGATCATCAATAGCATACAGATTAGCTCCTCTAGCCTGCAATAATGTCAAGACCATATCATGGCCTTGACCGGCAGCTATGTGAGCTGCTGTAACTCCATGCTAGAAAACAGATGCCAGATTCAAGCAAACAGTACACGAGTACATAAATACCAAAGGTGTTCTGAAATTAAAATATAATACAATTTCTTCTTTTTTTTTTTTTTTTTCAATATCTTAATTTAGCCTGAAAAATAATACTTTCATTACTGTTTGCTACAAACAGATGTTTTATTGATATTTTTTGCAGATCCTTCTACATAGACTATACTTTATCTACTCATGATTAGTGAGCTAAGATTTCACTACCTTTTATACCATTGTTTAAGTCGATGAAATCTTTAAGGATGACAGAATTGTCACACATGAGCTGAAATAATTTTCTCAGTTTCCTCAGATCCTTTCATATGCTGTAAATGCTACAAAAATATCCTCAGCTTGCAAGGCCATAGGTTATTGGAGTTCAGGCTCCTGAGGTGAAGTATTTTTTTCCGGTATTTACTATTTTTTATGTTAATTCTATAAGATGTAGAGTGTTAATTATTACTAAATCTTCTAGTGCTTCTTGGTTATATTTTGTTGTAATGTTATGTCCTATTGTCCTAATTGATTAATATAGACAATTACATTAATTTAAGTTATAAGTAAGGCAACACTTTAATTTATAAACATTCAAATATTGAATATGATTTGAATCTACAGATTTCATAATTGATGTTAATCCAAATTAAATGATTTATCAATTGTTAAGTTAAAAAAATTCAACACCACTGGACTAAATCAAGATCAGGACAAATATGATTCAAACATTAAAAACAAATAATCAAAAATATTTCTAAGAGAGATTTCACAGTAAACCAAATTAATAATTCACATTATGACTTCAAAAAAAGCATCACTTAAGAACCAGAATTGGGGACTAACACTTGAATGCCTAACCCTCATTTTGTGGAAAATGCAAAATTCATTGACAAAAGGAGAAGTATCGTAAAAAATTTGGTAGAAAATACAAAAACAAAACAAACAATAAAGGAAATAAATGACCAGAAAGAAAATCATTGGTTCACCTCAACAGAAAGAAAAAAGAAAAATTCTAAAAAGAAGTTTTAAACTTTCAAAACTACAGGTTAAAGAAAGATGATATATAGAGAGAATTATACGTGGATGTATGTACATACAAAGATAGGTCACAAAGGAGAACCTGAAATACTAACCACCAGATCTACTGTGCACAAAAGAACAGACAGAAGACTTACTACCCAAAAATGATAAAGATTTTGATAATGATGAAGTTAACAATAATGATTTTAGGATATTTCTCAATTATTCACTTCAACAAGTTGAGATTAGAGATGATTCACAATTTTTCAATTCATTCTCAAAACTATCATGTCACAATGTTCAGGTAACACAAAATATTTTAAAGACCCTCTACATCCTTGAAAGTTGAAAAACAAGTTGACATGCAATGAACACTACACCTTCACATTTTTGTGTTGACTTCAAAATAAACATTTTACCTTATTAGTGACATTCACGTTAATATCTGCCAAACCCAAAAGTTCATCCAGCCCTTCAGAGTTTCCTTCCACTGCAGCACAATGTAATGCCAGGACAACAAAATTATCCTCCTGCAAATGAAAACATTAAAATTTGAAAATAATACTTTCCTCTAATACTATCTTGATTTCATAATTGTCTTATCAGGGAATACTGTATATTGAAACTACATTAACAAACAGTTCATCTGAGGCTACTTATAAATGAATGTTTTACAGTTCAGAATTCTACAATACTCATGTTTGTTTCAAGAAATACCCTGACCTTGAAGCTAGTAACTTGACAAAACAAACTTGAGCCATGATTATAAACAGAAGAATCTTGGCACACTTGACATCAGAATTTAAATTATTTGTCCCCTACCTCATCAAGAGAAGATGTACTGCAAGAAGCATTCTTATGCTTCAAAACCATTTTCACAGCACGTAATTATACACTGCACTTTAGAAAGCAATGAGGGGAAGAAAATGGCACAGCCAGCATAACTGGCTAGGATCAATACATAAGCTCAGCACCAGCCTCAAGGAAGTTCAATATGTCTGCCTTCTACCTGACCTAATCAATACTTGAACTATCCACAAGGCAACTGCTTGCACCAGGAAACTTTCATAGTTTGATGAAAACAAATAATTCATTTTTTAAATTTATTTTGGAAAAGGATTATATTACAAAAAGTATAATTTGATACACAAATGAATATTTTTAAATATTATAATAGAAAAATTGAAATCATTTTAAAAAAATGCCAGACACTTTGCTTTTCTAGATACATTAAATTACTTACTAGGGAACTGTAATAGGCTTATTTCCACTATTTTTTTTCAGTTAAAATATAGATATTTATGATTAAAAATTAACAGACATAAATATGTGTACTGTACAAGGACAAATGGTTCTCAAACCAGCAAAAGAAATCCAACACCTTTTTCCCAATAAATCTCCCATTTCTTCAGAAGTAAATAATTACAGATAGGTCCAACCCACCACTCACCTTGCTACCTGGGAAACACACGGCAGCACTCTGTAAACGCAAGCATATGCGAATAGCCTGTAGACAATGCTAAAAACAAGGAAGAAAACAAAAATAGATATTGCTTACAAAAATTGCTGAAAGTGCAATAATATTTACAAAATTATTTACATGTCATACACATCTGAAAATGAAAGAAGAAAAAAAAAAGACAATGCAATGATGCAAATGAAATATTTGTATCATTCCTAGTTAAAGAGATTTTCAGTCATGTTCTATGTACATAAAGTTAAGAATAAAGTGAAAAATATATGTAAGAACACATCCATACATGCAATGTGACAAAACGATCTCAGAAAACTCAGTTTATTTTTATGAATTCTGTACACAGTAAGATATCAAGGAATTTTCAGAATTACGATATGTTTTTTAGATATCCCAGAATAAAATTCAGCCATTCATGAGCAAATATAAAGAAAATGTTTTATAAAAAACATGATACTACTGCCATGGATAGCAGATGACTGAAACTTACATGCCATTTCTTCAAAATCTGTACATTATGTTTTCTGTTACGTTTTATCTTATTTTCTCTAATAGTATTTTTCTCATTTTCTTTCAGAACAACTTTATTCATTTCATTCATGAGCTCACTGGCATCTTTCTTTTCTTCTTTTATTTCTTCAGATTCTTCAATTATTTTTACATTATCTACCACTGGTGCTGCTGAGTACGTCTGCAGATAAAGAAAACAATGTTTCAATGTTATGTTCAGACCTCTCTCTCTCTCTCTTTTTTTTTTCCACCTTCAAAAATACTTGTTTCACTTTTACTATCTTTGACTTTCTTTATCGTGAGAAATTATTTGATTTTCATAAAACTAATATATATGTCCTACATAATATTTTTACACGCAACCTACATAATATTTATGTCTAGAAAGACCACATATGAAAATAATGTGATCCATAGTGACGCTAGAGCAAGCAATGAACTTTTTATTTCAACATATATTCATTCATTTATGCAATGAAAGTAGCCTCACTTCAAGAAAAATGAAATATAATTTAATAAGAATACAAGTTTTGATTGGTTGTCTTTATATAATATAATATATATATATATATATATATATATATATATATATATATATATATATATATATATATATATATATATATATATATATATATATATATATATATAAACATTAAAATTTAATGAAACTTATTAAACAAAATTTCTTATGTGAGAGTTCATTGCTAGACAAATTTAGAACAAAGTAAGAGAAGTTTTAACTCATTGATTAGAGAAGGATATGAAATGAGGATTATATTATTTAATCTATAGAAATAATATATTATTGATGACAGCCTTTATGAAGATGATATTTGCTCAACTAGCACTGTCAGAAGAAAGAATTCACCTTTTCAGTGCAACTAGAAAATTACCCTCTCTTAATTATAAGTTTACTCATTTCTGTCAACATGTTTACTATTGGAATCTCCAGTTGACAAGATAACTAGTCCCTAAACATATTATTTTGCAGATAATAATACATAAGTCTCGAGTTTATAAAAATCAATTGATAAAAATCACCCACATTGAAAGAAAAAAGAGATAAAGAATGTTGAGTAAGGAAACAACTAAATAAAATCAATCAAAAAGTTTGTTTCCAAAAGTATTTTTTAGTTCTTTATCAACAATACACAAAACATTGTTTATTCATATATTTGCACAATAATTATATTTTCATGCTTTGTTTCTTTTAAAAACATGAAAATAGCAAAACGTCAACCTTCTAAATAAATTTCATTGGTTTGTTAATTCCAGAAACAAAATGTACTGAATACGTGGGCACTAACATCAGATCCAGCAAGAAAATTTTAAAATACAACAGAAGATGGGCACACACCTGTAACCAAATATGTTGTAAACAATCTGATACAGTCGCTCTTTCAGAAGGTTCTTTGACTAACAGTTGAGATATGAAATTTTTAGCTAGTTCAGAGACATTACTAAAATACTCATCATCAAAACTGTAAATGCCAGCAACAACGTTTGAAAAAGTTTCTTGTTTGTCGTCACCCAGAAAAGGGGAGGCTCCACTCACTCTGAAAGAGAGAAAAGTAATCCACGTAATGCAAACCCAGCATGTGGAGCATGAAGGTTGTACAACACACGAGTTTATGCATTTATAACTTTTAGATATGTAGAATTAGATAATAACTAAACATATCTTAAAAATAATCCTGTGCTTAAAATTTCCTGTTTTAAACAAACTTTTGGTATTCTGGGAAGTTATGTAGCTGTCCATATACCACATGAAGGTGTCCATTTTTAATTTTGTGAATTGCAATACTTTAGAAAATCATTTTTGAATTGGTTAATTTAAATTTCAAATCATTATTGGATGATATTATAAGATTAGTAACAGAATTGTGAAATTGATATTAATTTTCTGATGCTATCTTTTTTCTTCTTACTAAGAAGTAAAAATTTAAATTTTATAAACTGATATTATAAAAAACTGTTTACGCCACATTAACAAAGTTTCATGGGTTTTTTCTTCTTTCTTTTAAAGTATATACCATTTATGCATTATTGAGGATTGTGAAGTTAACTAAGCCCACTATCCTTTTCAAACTTTTCTTTCAGAACATTCTTAAAAATTCAATGGGGAAATCAAATTATATTTAAAAAGAGAAAGGATATATGTTGAAGGGATGGAATTTTGGGAGGGGAAATTTAAAATGTTTTCATTGGATGTCATATTAGAGATTTTATAATATGATTTTATTACATCGCAAACTACACTCAGTTACTGTGGCGATCTGATTTTATTCGTTTTAATAGTAATCTGAAATACTTTTGCTTGAAAATCTTGCGACAAGTTAAAATTAATAGTTACTGAAAAATTTCAGGAGGTAAATTTCCCTCATTTCTTCCCTATGGATTTGCACCTTTGTGTGTTGTATTATCCACATAATAATTATGTGAACTAATTTTCAATAATTGTATCTGAATCCAAAAAGGCTAAATGTATCTATTTTTAAGAAATTCTGGAAGAGTTGGATTAAAGTGAATAAAATGGAATTGCCATTCAAAGATAAGTCATAAACCAGTGCTCTTGTCTCTTACTTTGGTTTATAATATTTTAAAAGAAAAAAATACAGTGCATCAAGAAAGTCTCTCGACCAGTCTTGAGTCAGGGCTTCCTATTAAAAATTGAATTTATACTGGTATTACCAAGATCAGGGGGAAACAAGCAAAGAGGACAACACTTCCAGCATCTGTTATATTTGTGTTAAGTATGCTTTTCACATTTGCTTTTATTACAAGCTGCAGCTCATAAGCTGCTAATTTCTGTTGTTGTCACTCTCACAAGCAAGGTACACTACGGAGAGACTTTCTTGGCTTGCTGTACTATCACAGCAACAGAGTAAATCCCCTCAGAGAAATTTCCACGTAAGGATTTCAGTTCAGGATCACAGGAGTCTTTCAACAGGACAAGAGAGTAATTAAAGCAATATGTTACCTCAAGTTTACCAATTCCATCCCCTGAAATATTAATTCATTGAAATACAGAAATGTTTGTATATTTATTTTACGTGACATTCTCACAGTTGATTCATTTACTTGGTATAAAAAAAACCTACCATGTATTATTGATTTCTTTGTAACCATTATTTGCATCAATGATCTAATCAACAAATAGGTTTTCAAAAATGTAGGCTAACCATTTTTGGAACCTTTCACCAGACACAGCAGAATAAGCATTCTTTGTTGTAACAGTTTCACTTTTTCACACTTAATCATGATGGTAAAGGCTTAAAATCACCAAAATTGCAGAAGTGAAAAACATTAAAAAGTTGATGGCATAACTCAGGACTTTTTAAATGGAACTATATATTTTTCTTATCAGCAATAGATCATAAACAGAGGAATTCAATGATGTATCATATATTATTGTTTTGATCGGAATTTGAGAAAAAATTATACTTTCTGACATGTTAAATTAAACTGGCAAATTTTCCTGTAGCACCCCTTGCAACTGTAGTCTTCTGGATAGGTGGCCTTTGCAGCACTGACTGTTCTTGCGACGAGGGGAGACCAAGGAGGGTGGCAATGAGGGACAGAAGCGGAACACCAGCAATCCATGGTCTTGTCACAATAGACTCAGAAACAAACATTAATATTATCAAGCAGAATGAAAAATTTTATCCATTGATTCATCAGAACTGAACATTTCTTCTACAGGTTGAAATTCCAAAGCATCAATTCAAAGTATGACAAACATTGCAGTTGGTTCGCTAGCCCTTGCAAAAAACGACAGCAGATGTGCATTGCTGTCAATGAGGGCTGCGGAGCATAAGTGCAAATCATTTATGTAGATATTTGTATTCTGTTTTTCTATAGTTATTTACAACTTACTTAATTTTTGTACATTTACAATGAGAAGTTGACTAACAGAAAATAATAATAAAATTTCTACCTAGCATCTACTTCCTAATCAATTATCTCTTGTTCAAAAAGCAGAAAAGCTGTCAAAAGTTGTTTGCAAGTAATATGGCTTTTCTATCAATGCAGTATAACAATATTGTTCACAGGAAACTATTTTGCATTACAAACATTATAGTTTTTTAAAATGAAAATATCTTGACAGGAGTCTGGCTTGTAAAAGGTTGCAAAAAATGTAATGTGTAACTTCAATGCAAATATTTTCAACGTAATTTTGGCACTCAAACCAAATAATGAAAAAACATTTTGAGACCATAACAAATTTTGGTTAAAATTTTCCAGAAAGACATTACCAAATATTCTCTGATGGCATATAAAACAGTAAAAATTGGTCATTTAATCTATTTTCAGAGGACATGTCCCCCCCATATGCCTTCTCCAATGTAATGCTAGATTTTTTTAAAATAAATTCCCTTTCTACCCAGGTTATAATCAATCAAAGATTTCAAAAACGTCCTATTGAGTGGTTTCTGGCTAATTGAGGTTGTTTTGAGAGAATATAATTATCATATTTTGAGATTATTTTTTTGTCTGTTTTGGTAGATTTCTTCTTACAGAGGGTTTAGAATAGAAAGGTTTCATGTGTACTTCAATTCCTGCCAGCACAGAAAATATTTTTAACAAATGCTCATTACAGAATCCAACTCACAGTATTGAAAAATAGAGTTTAGTTATTTCAAAACATGAAAACTCTCTTATCACATTCATATTAGAGAGTTCACAGTATAATTAAGAACAAACTTCAATGAGTATGTCTTTGAATGATCAAGTTAGGCAACTTAGTACTACTCAACAATAAATTTGCTCACAGAATATATGTGATTACACCCAGAGCCCACATGTCAGTTCCTAAAGACAAAGGTTCATAATTCACAATCTCAGGGGCTACAAATTCTGGTGTTCCAAACATAGCACGTAGTCTGGTATCTGGGGCCAATTGTTGTGAAAGGCCAAAGTCAATAAGTTTAATGTGAAGTGACTCATGATTGAGTAAGAGTATATTTTCTGGCTGCAACAAATAAAAAATATGTAAGTACTATGTGGAGAAAAAGCACAAATTATCATCAATGAATGATATCAGTCAACCAAGTTATGACATACACTGACTTAATTTTTAGTCTGCATCAATGATAGTTGTAAATACCAAAAATCAAGCGGTATCACCAACACAAGCAATTATATAAATATAAATCATAAAGACAATATTAACAATTTTTTAATGATAACATTTCAACGAAGCAAACATATTACAGATTCAATACTGCAATTGTTTTTGCTATGTAAGAAAAACAAAAAGATTATTGTAAAATGAAATGAATGCCAAACATAAATTCATTAAAACGTTCTCAACATTTAATTCTGCTTTTTTCTTCATAAATTACAATCTCCATTAATATTTGCAAACTTCTAATCTATACCATTTAATAACTCTATTTTCATAAAATATTGTGATCATTTTTATTCAATAAATATTTGTTACTAGTTATTTAGTGAAATTTCATTGAGCAAGTATTACATGGAGATGCCACAGATCTTACCGTCTCAATGGCTCTTCTTTACTAACTGTTAAAATAATTAATAATAGTGAGTTGCACATAAAATACCTTGAGATCCAAATGAGCAACATTATTGTTATGCATATGTTCAAGTGCTTCCAAAATTTGACGAATAAAATGCGCTGCTTCATTTTCATCCAAACGATCCCGTTTAGACACATAATGAAAGAGTTCACCTCCTTCAATTCTACAATTAAAACAAGTGATTGGAAGTAAGAAATATTAAAATATCATTTTTTATTAATTAAATACATAAACAGTAGAAGATTTCAAGAGCAATACACTTACAATTCTAATACAAGAACTACTTCTTGACGACTTTCAAACACTTGGTGGAGTGACACTATGTTCTTATGTTTCAATTGTAATAGAAGTTTGACCTCTCTCTCAATGTCTTCTGAAGACACTCCACGGCACACTCGACGCTTTCGCATAAATTTTGCAGCAAATTGATTGCCAGTAGATTTTTCAACACAACGTCTAACAACAGCAAACTGACCTCTGAAACATTTAATGATTTATTTAATGATAATGACAGCAGCAGCATGCTATATCTTGTACAGGTTTGTTAACACAGTGTATCCTAAATATAAATAAGGAATACCATGAAAACAAATCATATTTTTGTTGCATGCAATTAGTTAAAAGGACAACAACACTTACTTTCCGATTTCTTCATAAACATCATAAAATTCTTCAAATGGCTCACTTTTAAATTCCATAATATAAATTTGCATATAAAAACTAGTACTGGTTATCTTTTAATTTTTTCATTCATGATATATGTTGCCCTCCAAAGCTATGGGCAAAGATCAATAAAGTATAAAATCTTCTGTTCTGTTCTTCAGTTCTTGTACGTTTCATGGGTAAACTTCTTACTAATAAGATACAATTTTGACATATTTTGATATGACGATTAGGTATTTTCCGAACTGTCAGGCTATCACTCGTCACTAATGAAACGTCACAATGCACGGTAAACCCGTTGTTTATTTACAAACCGTACCTTCCTGTTACTCACACGTATGAATAATCATTTAGTTACTATTTTTCTCAAAACACATTACACCAAGTCTCAACTTAACGTTAACACACTAAACAAAATCGTACCGATGTTTTCAATAGACAGCTTCCACTTCTCTCAATAATCGACTTAGTATGAGACGCTCCCTAAAATATGATATGATAAATAAAATAGAGCATTTTACACGTAAAAATGTTTTCACATTTTTTAGAAAACTACCAGGTTTTGCTTTTCCGTGTAAAATACATCATTTATGACACGCCGACGACACATTCAAGTGTCCGCCATCATTGCCATGAACAGCTGATCCTTGGCAAGTGAAGTTTGAGACGCTCGGCTGGGAGTCTGAAGAGGTCTTCCGCAGGTCATGGGCCGTCGCTATATCCAGGTCATTGAACTGTTGGTGGTAGTACTATTAGGGCTTGGCCTGGAGACTTCAGGAATCAAACATTTCTCCGGCCTTCAGTTTACTTCGCTTATGTTCAAGTTAATTTGGATAACATTTCTTTTCTTTCTTATTTGGGGCAATTTAAAAAATTCCTACGTTAGCAAAATTGAGCTTTTTCTAAAACCCCTTCCTCTTTGTAAAAAAAAAAAACTACCCTCTGAGATGAACGTAAATATTGAGCTCCTCCCTCTCCCCAGCACAATCAAACCATTCCATTGTAAATACAACTTAGGTGAAATATAATATCAATTTTATATCCCGTGAAAATTATATTAAGCGACCACTACTGGCGTGCGCATGAGGAAGGCAGGAGGGCTGTAGCCCTTCTGAACATTTCGAAATGGGCTCCGTAGCCTTACGTGACATTGTAGCTTCACAATGTGCACGTTTTGTTGAATTCTCCTTTCGCTTGTAGGAGTAGCAGTAGAGCTGAGGGTGAGTTACTATTTTGTTGGCAATGCACAAAAATCAAATCTGGAGTTCGTTATGCAAATGAGTTTTCTTTAACTCGGGAACGAAAATGTTTGGTTTCTACAAATGTTGCTAATCTCGCGCTTTTGTGACATTTATTTTTTAACTTTTATTCATCTTTCAACTATTTGTAGTTAAAATGTTGGGAAGGGATTCTGGAACTCAAGAAAATGTGCGCAATGATCTTCTCCCGCATACTTCACTTACAGTTTTTACTGTTTTTTTACTGAATAAATCAAATCAAACATTTTACTTCCGTAAATATGATCAATTGCCCCTCGCCCAAATTTTAAAGCTGACAGTTTGGGAAAACGATACACGACAAGCTCATTACTTCTGGTGGTAACTTAATTAAAGGTCAAACAAAATTAATTATATTTATTAAATGGTATGTATGCAAATAAAAGTTTTAATTTCATTTTTGTAGTTTGCTTTATTTATTTACTAGCACAATGTCATATGTAAATACAAATATTAATTAATGGAAAAGGAGGCCCAAACTTATTTTAGTTGCCCCCCCCCCCTCTTCCCTTTCGTTTTAGATTGCACATGGCTATGCGACCGTAATTGGTTACACGAAAAAATAACGTAGTTTTGGAGAGGTATTTGCGTAAAATGAAAGATAATTTTATTTTAACAAAAAAAGATCTATAACTACTGGGAAACCTGGTGTTAAGTACCATTGTCGGTTCCATGAAGAAATGTTCTTTTGAAGGAAGTCGCGCAATAGTAGTTTGTTTGTTTTTGTTTGTTTTTTAACGAAAAGGTCTATTATTACTACTAGATATAAATTTTTTGGGAAGTTGCCCCTGCGGAACTGTGAATTCTCTTTGATTATGTTTGTAACTAAGGTAGTATTATCAAGAAATGTTGACAAGGACAAAATGTTACAAAAATCGTGTTAATGATAGTGTTCAATGATAGATTTCTAAAACTGTTTTTTAATAAACTTATTTAATGAATAATGTTAATTATTCAAATTATTCCACAGGATCATTTCAAATTTTAATGCAATTTTGTATGACGTCACGTGTCTGAAAGGAACTTCTGTGGAGTTATAGCTTTTTAAATGAAATAGTTTCTTTGGAATATAGCAGTTTGGATTGACCCGTGCAGTGTCGGTTTATTTTACTTTTAGAATTTCGGCAACTTTTGAAAAACAATACTTCCTTCTCCGTTTTTGCTAAATATATGGAACTGCGCTTTACTTGTACAGCTTCTTCAATGGAACTAATTAATTTTAATTTCTTAATACACAACAGGTAAATTTCAGCAAAAATGCAATCTCTATAAACTGGATTGTGGCTTACACACGTGTTATAGGATTTTTTTTCTAAATTTGGGACCTGGATTTATCCATTTTTTTGTTACCGGGGCTCAGTAATAGCGTTTTTTTCTGTCGAAATACTGTCGTGAAATTACATAACTTCGATCTTTCTTAAGATGTATCCATTCTTAAGGCGCGAGAAAGTGTAAAAACTAATCAGTCTGCAACCCTTCACTTTCAGAGTAATAGGAATGTATCAGATTTTTGCACTTACAAATCTCCCAGCCGGCAAATTAATACCCGTTTCTTAGTTGAAGCCCATTCCTTATGTGGACGAGAGGCTCGTTATTAAATTGTATTTCTTGACCGAATAAGTTAAAGTCAAGACCACATGTTGATTTGTGGCGGCCACGTTAACAAATTGTGTCCTCTGCCATTTTGGCACAAGTTCTCATGGAACCATTGATTTCTGCTAGGTTCAGTAAATAACGCTGGATAATATATTAGATAATTATGTTGAGTTGAAACTATTAAGGTTTTGTTTAACCTCCACTTTTTACTTCTCGTATACGTACGTATATACGGAGTATATACGTAGTATAGGGAAAGTTGTGTGAAATGCTGGGAAATGATTTCGAAGATTTCAATGGAAATACACGTTTAGGGGTCTCCTTATACCGAAAAAGTGTTGTTTTTTTCAAAACGTCTGTCTGTCTGTTCGTCCGTCTGGTCTCTGTGAACACTATTAGCACTAAACATGCGTAGGAATTTTTATCCATTAAATAAACCCGTCCGACTCGAGTCGAAACTTGAGATTTTGAGAAACATTCTTCGAAATTAGGGGATACTTTACATGAAAGCCCGCCGGACATTTTCCAAATGTTTCTCAAAACGTCTTTTCAAATTTGTTCTTTAATTTCTTGTAATAATAGATAAACATACACTTATAAAGTTGTCCTAGGTACGAATTTTGACCGATAACTGAATTTTGAACATTTCAAAAGTATTGATTTTTTTGTGTCTTCCTGCAACTTTCCAAAATTGAAGATTGAGATTTTTCCTTAAAACAAAATTGTTTCTCCATAGTGATTCCTTTCATTAAGGTCATTGTACTTTTTTTTTTTTTTTTTTTTTTTTTTTTTTTTTTTTTTTAACATTCTTTCATTCTTTACGCCACCTTCCCCGTTGCAAAGCGTTCCATTCCATGTTAACAATTGCCTTATAAGTAGTAGGAATATAGAGCAAAAGCAAAACGCGACTGCGCCGCCCATGAGAAACAGTGGCCGAAGGACGGGTTTGTTCGGACTATGGTGTGTTACGCGAGGTGTACACAGTAGGCCGTTACATATAATACATGGGGGACGTAAAGAAAACGCGTCGCACTAACTAAAGTGAAGCTTTGTAGGTCTGAAGAGATCATTTGTATAGCACCAGAATGACGGTTTATACCAAAACCAAACTAATAAGACATTGCAAATAATACAAAACAATTACATAACAAATATAAAAAGCAATAAATTTCTTGGCATTGCTTAACAGGAGTTTACTCCATTGTTACCTCAACTGTTAAAAAAATGTATTCCTGGCACAATTGAATTATTACCTATGAATTAATGTATTTTATGGAAATAATAGTGGATGTTATATGAATATGCCAAGCGATACCCAAAAACTCCTTTATAAAATGAAAAACAAATGCATTTATTCTGTTCTAGTGTGGTATTATGAGCAACATAGATATGAGCCGACGCACGCCTCTGGAGGTCACGCCAAAAGTATCCCGTTTGTACGGCTGGGTTGAAATGCTCTGGAAAACCTCTTTCCTATTCGCATTTAAAAGGTTAAACGTCCTCCACACTAATAACAAAGTTAAATTAAAAACTGTTGGAGGCATTTTTTTAAATGTCATTAGGACTTGATGTAAAGTTACCCCCCCCCCACACACACACACACACATTAAAAGTTTTGGATTCAAATTAAAGGGGCGGCGATATCAGCCAGATCGATTGAGGAATATCAATTTTGGATAAAATTGGCTGTACGGTTTAACCGCTATCGTTGTTCACAAACATACATTTTGCCGTCAATCCATTTTTCGGCATCAAGGATCCATAAAGCATGGATTCTGGCAACACGTGGTAGAGGATGTTTTTTCTAAATTTCGCAAATTTATCCATTTTTTCGTTACCAGGGCCCGACAAAAATTCACCACTTTTTTCCACATCATTACACATACTCTTCATAAGTACCTTCTTAAGGTGAGAAAATGAACAGTTAACAATCTACTTATGTATGGAATGTATCGTGAAGTTGTATAACTAATTCGTGGCTGGCGATTGGGCACTTGTTCTCGCACGACACGCTGTAACATATGGAAGAGGAAGTGGCGACTATGTAGGACATCTTCCTACGCTACAATATTATTTGTAGCCTTGTTGGTTGTGGCTGGCACAGTCAGAAATTTTGAGTCAATATCTGGTGTCGTGAACCACATATTACACGAAATTTCTTTAAACCGCACTATCTTTTGTCCGATTCTTCCCTCGCAAGGGAGCATTGCTGCCGCGACCTCTGGTGGAGAGTTGAAGGCGACCACCCGGAACCTGTTTCACAGTACAACTCATCGATAGCTTCGAGGTGGTAGCAGCGAGAAGGCATAAGCTAAGCCCCATGTGGCCTGGCTTGCCCGGTAACCCACCAGTTGGGCCAACGGCCCCCCTTAGACTGGATCGGGCCGAGGAAGTTGGTATGGACGCTCCGGATCCCACATATAGAAGTTCAGGGAACGTTGCGGTAGCCTCGACCCTGGCGGTTAGGGTGGCCCTCATGGGCTTGGCTTCGTCGTGGCAGAGGTCCGACACCCTGGGCAAAGAGGACGGACTTGCTCCCGTCGCATTGATTAGACTCCGGTACTAGTCCAGAAAGCTAGCTCAGAGAGGCCCAACCCACGCATCGAACGCGGAAGTTTCCATGAGGACAAACTGCGGTCCGGCGGGGTCCGGAAACCAGCCTGTCGACGTACTTTTGCGCTAGGGAGGGGGGGGGGCGGATAGGGGCGACAAGCCATAGGTGCCCGCACTGGGAATTTATGACCCCTGGTAGAACAAGGCAATTGTGTGGAGTAGCCTACGCACGGTCACGACTGCCCGATTCCACAAGATTGCCATGAATGAAACAGGACTGTCCGATCGAAACCCAGACATATGGCAACCATATCTCAAGGGTGTGTTGTTATTAGGTTGTATACCCCAGCTGCTAGCGACCAACAGCTTCCCTCTCCCATCCCATATTTTATGTTATCTGCTGTAATTGTGCCAATGCTGGTGTTAGCCAACCATTTTCAATTGCTTCAACTTTCATGTGTAACTATCTTATTGAAAAAGGTCTCCTCAAAATATCATCAATTATACCATAACTGGAAGACCTACAACACAGAATTATTCCTGACGGTTGTTAGTCAAAGCATTTTTACTACTCTGCAAAGTTGCTACAAATCCTCACGAAATAACATGTAAACACAATATATCGCAAACACTACAACCACTACTCGGGTGAACCACTGCGTAACACACTGCCCTGACATGCACATTGATTTTCTAAGCAGAATACACTGTTGATATTTATAAATTCAAGGATTCTAGGGATCTGATCACATGCGAGTCAGAACTATCTTCCTCAGAAAAAATTATAAAATCTCAACTGAACATACCGTTTCATTACAAAAAGAGAAATATGTGCCTTATAATAATTTTATAAGTTATAAACTTCTCGACAAATGGTATGTTAATTTATACTAACAAAACATTTCATTTAAAATAATTTTGCATTGTGGTAGCACTGGCTTATGAGTAAACACACTCGCAGACAAGACAAGTCAGCTAGATCTGTCCTTGAAGCAGCGGGAGGGGGAGAAACGTCATCCATCCCCAGCTTGCTAGAGTTCAGTGCATATCAGCAGATCTTCTCCCCAATCAGCGCCTGACTCTGCGCCAGTGAAGAAGATGGGTGTGGCACCCAAGCCCAGCGAGTTGTCAGAGCTGGGGTTAGAGCACTGCAGAAGCAGTAGGCCGCTATACAGATCGCAGTAGAGCACACGGTGCAATACTTTTGATCATCTGACATATGGCTCATAGTAATTTTAATTCTCAAAATTCATCAAATTCTCATTTTTGCTTACCCCAGCAGTGCTGGGGTTGAATGCACGATACTGCTAAAAATGACAATAGAATACTACTGCTGTATTGCTCCATCAGGGGATTCTCGTCTTGCTACACTTTGTCATGTGAATTATTTTGAAACTTTTCATTTAACAAGAGTTACTTGTTCTTTTGTGAAAATACTTTAGAGATTCCCCAAGATGCCATTACCTCTTCTATCAACTGTAACCCTTTATTACAATTTGACAATACCTTCCCTAAACCAATATACATTTAGTTTCGAGACTGTGGTCTCTATTTAATTTAAATAATGCAAGGAAAATGATAGTACATGTAATATGGGAATGTAAAATATATTTACATTGACTGTACACTACAATATGCAAAAACATTAACATTTCACATCTGCTCTTTCTACTTTTGGTGAACCTTTGTATATTACTTGTTTACATGTCCATGAAAACACTTCTGGAGGAGGTGCTTCAATTTCTAGAGGTTTCCCCTTACCACCGAAGTCAGGAATTTCAACTCTATGCAAATGCACATGGGCTGGAATGAATCGTTCATCTTGCCTCTCCAAATCCAGGGCAGCTAACATTGGGTCCTCCAATCGCTGCAATTAAAAACATACTACTGATTTCTTATGAAATGAACGTACCATATTATAGAACATACATGCACCTTTTCCTTACTTGTGGTAACTTCGCTCTATCACTGAAAGGGCTAATCGCAAGAGACCTGCCACCTACGTTTTGCACCCGAGAGCCATACAAATTATCACCAAGAATTGGACTCATCATATAAGCCATATAGACACGTAAGAAATGAGATTTTGTTCGAGATGGCTTAACTTCAACGAGACTTGCAAATGGTCCTTGTTGCAGAGTGGTATGTTCCACAGAAACTGTTGTCACATCTCCTCGCTTCGCTGAATTTTTTGACCATTTTGTCAATAAGATAGGCTGTTAAACAACAATGACATTTATTTAGTGAGATAATAAATATATTTTAAAAACAAAATTTCAGTAGCATTCATACCTCCAACATACACAAAATTCATTTTTCACAACTTTAAAATTATTAATTATAAAAAGAATTATATTCAGTTTTGAACTGTTTCCTTAATATGAATGATTATCACAACATTTTCCACTTTTGAAAGAGCAAACAAAATTTGGAACATTGTTCAGAGATACCCAATGGTCATGAACCATTGTTTGTGCATAGTGAATGGTATCCTGAAGGATAGTGATGAAATTGTAACAATCCATGGTTAATCAAAATTAAGTTCCACCTTCCCATTGCAATAATTAACCTACAACTTAACTAAATTTTTAAAAAATGAAAACAAAATTAAGTTTGCTAGTTGCTTACATCAAAAAATTTATTTCATTTTTTAAAATATATTTTGGAGTGTTGAAGAACTTAACTCCAAGAACAAGTGGTTTATTTTTTCAAGACCATATTGCAGACCAGAACCACATTTCACTTGTTTTAATAGTTCCATTACAGATTCAGGTCAAATATTTCCTCGCTGGCATTAAGAAGTTTGTTTTGGCAAGCCACTTCAAATACTTCACTTACCAATTAAAGCCTCCATTATAAACATCTGTAATGTCTCACTGAAGCCTTCGTTGCCTTGTGCAGCATCATTTGTCTCCTATGTAATTAGCTTTGTATTTTAATTTTGCTGTATAGATTGTCTTTAATTAGGTTCTTTTTATCATTGAAAGGTCTATATATTTTTCAACAATCATCTGTTCTTTTATTACATTTTTAAAATGGCATCTGAAAAAACAATAATTTTTATTTGCCAATTAACTGCTGTTTCAGAGATGTGAGGAAACAATGCACATCTGAAACATTATTAACAGTTAACTGGCAGATAAAAATTTGTAAAATTTTTATTTTTAAACACTAAAAGAACAGGTAATTGTCAAAAAATATATGGGCCTTTTAAGTAATCAGCATTGCTTTTCTGCCGGCCAATTTCAAAATTATTACATCCTTGTTTCATTAGCCTACAATTTCATCCTACTTTCATCCCTTTAAGCTTGCAGGGTCATGACTACTGAAACACCTTCAGTATACCTCTGTAGCACAGATACAAGATAATTCGGCTAAGTAATCAGAGACTGATGAATATGATTTTTTATAGGATATTTTCATTATTAAGGTGCTAACACTGTGTTTGTTATACATTTTTATAAAGGGGACCCGGATAAAATTTTTGCAGGCATGCCCACACTCATTTCGTTACGCTACTTAATACTACAGTAATTAAGAACATTATGATAATTCAAAAAAGTGAAGACCAGAATCCAGTTTAATTCATGAATAACATATATAAATAGTATCCCATAAATGCAGTTTGTTATCCGATTTGTTCATGTACACAGAATTGACGCTTTGCTACATGTGTCCTAGTTGATAACAAGGCTTGGGCCTTCGGTCCTCGCGTTAACATAAAAGATTCCAAAGTCTGCCCAACGCATTATATGCAAAGTCACTTTAAAAATCATTTGGCCTGTATATGTTCACTTATGTTCTCCATACATACTGGCATAAATCCTCTCAAGATCCATTCTGTTTGTTTTCTGTTCTGTACAGGTGAACGAATCGGATCACATAGTGCATTTAAGCCAATAATTGTCATGCACATAATAAATAAATGATACAGATGTTATATTTTTCTATTTCATTTCTTAGGAACCAAGTACAAGTCAAAAAACTAGGTCTCTTTGTATTCAGGAAAATAAGGTGTAAGGTACACTCAAGTGTCCTGTTCAACTTTCGTTACTTTAAAGTACCATCAAATAAGAATTCATCAAGTAGAAACTATATTAACACTAGGTTGACCTTGTTTTCACAGTTCTTCTAGTCTATTAGCTTGCCCTCTCTACATAACAATCACATCTAGAGACATCTCACCTGTGAGCCACCACATATTTTATCTTGTTCATGTTGGATGGCAACTTTGCCTTTATATGATATGGGGGAAGGAGTTCCCACACATACAACGTGGTAAGTATCTAAGATTTTCCCTAGATTTTTGCCTTTCTGTATGCAGTTCTTCACATGATTCGTTAGCTCTTGAGATGAAGATAAAACAGATACCCCACTGGTATACCTGTCACACAAATTTATGTCAGTTAAATATCCTTTGCATTTCTACACTTATAACTTTATCATTTGTACCTTTCTGGAATCTTAACAGTTTCCAGGTGTTCGTATCCTAATTTATGTGCTAACAGTGGCAAGATTTCATTTAAGTAAAAATCTTTTTCTCCCACGATTGCAGTGCGCAATCTCTTTTCTCTCTCAATTCTACTCTTATTGATTATTGGTTCTTCCTTGCCAATTCCATGCGGCTTATTGAGGACAACAAGACCATCTGCAACAAATATTTCCATTTAGCAAGCTAAATTAACACAATTAGAAGCTTAAACAATGATAATTACCTTCATTCATAATTACATTATTGGCTAGTACATGGGCTAATTCTGACAAGCCTCCCCAGTTGAAAGAGTAACTATAAATATGTAGATTTTTCTTCCATTTTTGAATCCTTAGGGTCTCGCTGCTAGAGGCAAATCTTCTACAAAAATTCACTAGATGGCTTCGAACAGCCAACTCCACAAGTTTACATCCACAATCTTTATATAATGCCTAGAAATAAACGTTCAAATAAATTATACTATAATGTGAGTACCACTCAAATATTTCAATGGTAAAATATTACTACCATTTTCTTGGTAATGCAAAATCACTTAAAAGAGCAACTCTCTCTTCTGCAAAATAAATAAGGCATACACCGAAAATCCATATTAGAATAAAATATGATCATGTCAATAGCAAAACACCCACGCTGAACAAATCCTATAAGGACAACTTAACGCACAGCGGCACATACAATTACAGCGCGGAACAGGTGACGAAATGGACCTTTCCTGCCTGATTCCTAACCGAAATAATACACAGAGCACCCTCTTCGTTTGTCTATGGAATAATACTTGCTGCCCGGGATGTGCGTTTAACCTGTACAGCAGAACGCGACGCGCGACAGCGCATGGAGATTTTCATTTGAAATTTGGCCAACATCAATGAGCAGGCTACCAACGTGCCGGCTGAAAGTTTAAGCCCCAGGCTACTCGTATTATAGTAAAGAACCAACGAATTGTCACAAAAATCAAAGTGGGGGAAAATTTATTGTGGGGGTCTCTGAATCTGTTTTCCTTTTTCTTTTTTACTAAAATGTCTATATGCTTCGTGTTTGCCTTTCTCGCTGCTGCTTGCGCATTATAAAGAAAGTATTGTAATGTTGCGGAAAAAAATTGCGAATTTTCGACAGAAGAACTGTTATCGCTGACTCTGGGAACGAAAAAGAGGATATATCTTGTCCTTACAACAAATTATTTCCTCTAGCACGTTGTGTAGTGATAATCCATGTTTTGTGGGTCCTCGAAACCACAAAATCGATTGACGACAAAACTTGTGTCTGTTTTAATGGCTATACCATAAGCAAGATTTTCACCAAAATTTATTATATTCCCCAATCGATCTGGCTGATGTTATGGCCAATTGAACTTTAAACTAATGTTTCAATTTAGAGGGTAGAGTACTTTACATCAAACACATTTTCAAAATATCACCAAATGTTTTGATTAAATTTTGTTGGTAAAATAAAGTAGTTTTCACGTAATTTTGCGTAAAAGTACAGACAAATTTTAATTTTTAAACATTTTTTTTCAAAAACGGCTCCAATTTTTTTTTATTAAATTTCGACTTCGGATAGCGTAAAAAACATTTACAAAAATGGCACAGATCGCTTTTTTTCTCATCAGATCTCATACTTTCATTTACCATTAAGGAACCAAAAAAAATCAGGGAAGGTGAAAAAATTAGGCGGCAATAGGTGGCAGCTGCAATTTTGATGTATTCTTTTAATTTCTGAAATATTACCCAAATGTATTGACTTGATGACGCGAGAATAAAGAAGAGAAAACAAACCAACAGTTATTAAGGAAGTGAGTAAATTTGATAGAAAGTGCCCAAGCTGTTTCGAACAAGGGCCCTATGTTACAGTTGATGAACAATTTGTAACATTTCAGGAAAAATGTCCGTTCAAAGTGTTTATGAGATGAAAACCGGAAAGGTATGGAATAAAGGTGCGGGTTTTAGCGGACAATCTCTTCACTGATTTCGATTTAATCACGAGCTTTAAGAACAAAAACGAACACTGAAAGAAAAAGAAAGGCGTTTCTGTGTAGCTTTTTAGTAACAAAAGAAATGAGGTCTTCGCTTTTTGCGTCCACTAAAATCATGACTCTACTTTCATAGTGCGACAACCAAATAAATGTGTAATACTTCTGTCAACTCCAGATCATTATGGATCAAGAAAGCAACATTCCTGAAATAATAGATAACTTTTACAACGAAATGTGAAGTAGATACTATCGATCAGATGATGTGATACACCTGCAGCAGAACAATTTGAAGATGGTCATTAAGCTTTTATAGGAATTTTTAGACATTGTAGCTCTCAATGCATGTTAGTTTTACGACTGCTGAACCTGACTGGATAGTGGAAAACGTAACAGTAGAAGACACTTAGTCCAAAAGTTCAAAGATCATGAACCGACATTGAACAACGCATAAATGAAACCAAATATCCATGCACATTTTAAGAACAGCGGCCTATGTCAGCAAGGAAGAAACCGCAGAAAGTGCAATGAAAATTATAATCGCACTTTGTGGGTATGGAGAGGGGATGGAGAAGTCCTGCAGAAATGGATAAAACCATGCAGGTGAATTAGTCCTGCTGAAAGATGAAAAAATGCAGGTGGGTGGAGCGGTCCTGCCGAAAGGGATGAAAAAATGGAGAAGTAGGGTGGGGCAGTCATTCTGAAAGAGATGAAAAAAATGGAGAAGGAAGTTGGAGCAGTCCTGCTGGAAAGGCTTGAAAAAGCCCGCTCTATTTTTGCAGGGCCTTTGCACTCGCCTACGCCGCATCCGTGCTGAGCCAGCCGTGTAAATCTATCATCACCCCAAAACCGAATCATATCAAAAATTAAAGGCTAATTAAGTGCTGTATTTAGGCTCTTGTGGATTTCCCAAAATCGTGGGCAATAGGAAACTAAAACTTCGCTTAAATGGAAGTCAACAAAAACTGCCTAAATTAGCCTTTAAGTAGAAATGTTTTGGTTGAGTTTTGCTTTTGGGCGCTGTTATTATAGCCATGGTTGGCGATTGGTGTAAAGTCTTAGTGGATAATTAATTGACCCGGTTGGGGGTCCGTCCTCCCCTTTTCAATTCCCACCGCAAATATACCTGAAGGGGAAAATACAAAACAGAATTTTTCAGATTGTTATGTTTATCAATAAATTTTCATGAAATTGTTATCACATTTATTTCATGTATTTACAGCAAAGTTCGTTTTTGCAATACAAAAACAGCGCTGCGTTTGGCATGTTTCATATAAACTCATTAAACAACTTTTACAAATCGATTTTGTCGATTATGTCGCTTTAAACTTGTAAAATGGCAACACTGTTGAACTGCTCTTACGTCATAATTGATCGCATTTTAAGACGACGCAATACCGAGAAATTTCGTTAATTTCTGGAATGCGACTTTTATGGAATAGTTTTTTCTGCCCCGAAATTCCGAGTGTGTATTTTACCCACTCGGAATTTTCCGTGTGGGTGTAGGTACCCATAATATCTGCCGGCTTGCCGATGCCTGACGTGCAGGCAGAGGCGGGAGCGGCGGCGCGGCGTGCCCCAGGTCACGGCTCCCAGGCCGGCCGGCCATCGACCGCCGCTGCGCTGGGCGGGGACCGAGCAGGGCGGGGCCTGCCTCGTCACATTACGTCATGTTCAGCCCGCTCCGGGCCAGGCGCCCAGGCCGCCGCAGGAGGTGGCGGCCCGTCGTCTGTCGCGCCAGAGCGCTTCGGCCTCTGCGTCGCTCTCCCCTCCCCGCGCCGGGCCGGCCCGACACGGCGGCCGTGGCGGCGCGAGGGCTGGTGCAGGTTGACGAGTATTTGGTCACGCGGGTGTTCGAATAGGCCACACCCACCGCCATTAATAGGGAAGATTCACGTATCATCCAGGTACCCGTATCATACGGGTCCTGTATCATTAGGCACCCACGTCATACGGGTGACCCGTATGATAAGGGTACCCGTGTCATACGGGTCACCCGCATCATACGAGTCACCCGTACCACCATGGTTTACGAGCCGATAGAAAGCAGTTGGGAAGAGGATGTGGAGAAACCATAAAGCTATCCCCGATGTAAGAGAACAGAAATCTAACTTTAGATTTATTTTTAGATTCATTTGCTCAAAAAACAGTAAAAACTGTATGTGATGTATTGGGGTAGAACATCATTTCCTCATGTTTTCTTGAGTTCCAGAATCCCTTCCCATCATTTTAACTATAAAATAAATAGTAACTAAATAAAAATAAATTTTAAAGAAGCGCGAGATTAGTAATATTTGAAAAAAACTAGACATTTTCGTTCTCGATTTATAAAAAACGTATTTGCATCGGTAAACGAAATGCAGATTTTATTTTTCTGCATTGCTAACAAAATAGTAATTCGCCCTTATTTCTACTCTTACCATTACAAGCAAAAGGAGAGTTCAACAAAACGTGCGCATAGTGAGATAAATTTACGTCCAGAAGCAAAACAAGTGGTCATCTCAGCATTTGCTCAATGTATCAGGGAAACTGGATAAAAGCCTGATCGAGATGGCTGTCATTGCCCCGGAAGCTGAAGTAGATTATTTGTTATAAGCATATTAAGTTTTTTTCATTACACAATTCAAATGTAAACTAATTCATTGTACATCGCTGATTTGTTAAAATAAACATTGTTATTCTTTTTGATGATCAGTATAGTTTAATAGTACAAAAACAGTTATGCAGCCTAAAAGGATTTACTTTCAACTTAAATTTGTGTACCGACTTCAATTGTTTAATGTCATCTGGCAATGCGTTGTTAAGTAACGTACGTGGATTTCTGGTAGTGAGCTGTCGATACTCACACTTGATGAACGTGATATCAACGACGTGTGTTGTAATCATAAATATTAGCATTGCATGAAAGTATGTTCTCACCATTAAGTTAGTCAGTTTTGACAAATATTACAGATTCGTAAATACATGGGCAAGGCAATGGTAAGATTCCAAGCTCAATGAAGAGAGGATTGCAGCAATCACGCGGATGGCATTTTTTCATTATTTGAATAATTTTCTTTTGCAATCTAAAGGTCTGGGTTCTTCATGATGAGCTTCCCCAGAATATTATGCCATATCCCAGGTGGGAATCCACATTTGCAAAATACACGAAACGAGCTGCATGAAGGCTGACAGAATTTGAAAGAATTCTGAATGCGAAATGTAATGAACTTAATTTAGTATTTAATTCTGTTATATGTATATTCCATTTGAGGTTTGACTGAATTGAGAGACCATGAATTTTGTTACCTTAACATCAGCTAATTGCATATTGTTCATTTTCAATGGAGCATAAGATTGCTAATTTGAAATGCAAAAATTCATTGAAACTGTTTTTCCTTCGTTAAGTATGAATTTATTATTTCAAAACCAATTTGAAACTTCTGAAATCGTATTATATTGTTGATTTGTTTGAAAAGAACATTCGTGTCATCGGCAAACAACTGTTCTTCCATTTTTAATAGACGAGGGCATGTCGATTACGTATAACAGAAAGAGGATAGGATCCAAAATCGAACCTTGCAAGACCCTATATTTAATTGGTCAAGAATTGGAAAGATAAGTAAATAATGGTCTTTCGTGCCATTACGGTATTTCTACTCTTTGTTTAAGGTACGAGGTTATCCAATCTAGGGCGTTACCACGAATTATATAAGAGGTAATTTTGATAGCAAGATGTTATGGTCAATAACAACAAAAGCTATCGAAAGTTCTAAAAATATTCCAATGGATGCTTCATTTTGGTCTATTGATGACGCAACATCTTTAAGAAAAGAGAAAATGGCAGTTACCGTATATTTGGATTTTCTAAAACCGTGTTGTGAGTCTGAAAACGCTTCGTTTTTCCTGAGAAAAGAATCTGTTCGCGTATTGAAAAACCTCTTGAATAGTTTTGAGAAAACTGACAGAAATTGGCCTGAAGAAATATTTCATGTTTCCTTCCTTTTTTAAAAAGTGGCTTAATTTGTCCTGTTTTGAAAATATCTGGAAATATTAATGTGCATAAAGAAGAAAATGAAAATGTGAATATGTGAAAAATGGAAGTGTTTTGAAAATGTGAATTAACGGGTGAATAAAGGCAGGTTCACAAGTTTTCAATAAACAGTCCTAAAATTCATCTAAAGCAGATGAATATTTATTTTTTAGTTTACTGACTATTCTCAGGATTTCGTTAGAAGAAGTTTCGGAAATAAACATCGTGCCGAAAATTATTTGGGAAGGGAATGATGTTGAATTTTGTGGTATTAGTCCCTTTGTGAGTTTTTTGAGTTTCAATTCGCCGAGCATCGACTTTGACCAAATAATAGCAGAATAACAACTTTGGTCAAAATCCTCTGTTCTGTTTAGGCGCTAGTATTGTTCGTAGACGAACGATTTTAAAGAAAAAAACACCCACCAAGCTTCACATTTGCAGCTTGAGACCTAAAATTGTTTCTTTTAATACCTAGGTTGTGAAATAAAGCATGCAATCACAAAGAAAACACTAATTCGATTCAGTAAACAATAAAATGTCTAAACTTCTAATATCCCATACATGGTATCATTAGGTACAATATTTAATTTATGAGCACCACAATGCACAAACATAGAATTGTCAAATTCTTCACCTTCCCCCTGAACACCATACCACTCAAAACTGCTGCTCCATCGAATCCTTGATCTCTACGTTTTGATAAATCAATTCCTTGACCTTTTATGCAATCGACAATGTCAAAATGCATGTTGTGCTGATTATTTAATTAGTCAACTTTTGATACGGCTTGCATTGTGTCCATTATAGTAGAAAACACGGCCCTTCGTTTATTTCTTCTATGATATTATCAGACACCGGTTTAGATAAAAACTTACTTCGTTTTGAATTTGGGGACTTAAATAACAAGGAACTCCCGGACAAGTCCCGCCTGTCCCTGCGGAACTTCTGCCACCGATCCTCACAGTAATAGATATATAGTGACTTCACGATAGATATCGAGTTCAAGTTTGAATACTGCACACTTTTTATTGATCTTCCATTCGGGTCTAACTACAGTTGTCATAGATTATCAAAACAATAACATCGCCTCTGTCTCATACGTTTACACATACTTCAGACGATGTTTAGTCTGATTTCATGTTTACAGAAACAAAAACTTCTTTCATTAAAACATACTTCTTCCAACACGATTATTCGATACATCCATACAAATGACTCAATATTAGTTGCCATATGATCAGCGCCAGTTTTTCACAATTTCGGGCTCCTGTTGTGAAATTCTGGACTTCCCCACAAAAAATGAAACGCGTGTGTATGCTTTATCAACGAATTTATTGGTTTTATATTTACTTTCTCGCTATCGCTTCAACAGTAGAGAGAAATTTACCCAATGCTGTGGGAAAAGCGGCGAATTTTCGACAGAGAAACTCTTATTGCCGGGCTGTGGTAACGAAAAAAGGGATAAATCCGGTTGCTAAATTTAGAAGAAAAAATACTCTAGCACATGATAGCCAGAATTCATGTTTGTGGGTCCTTGCTACTAAAATATCGATTGACGGCAAAACTTCTGTCCGACTGACTGTTCGTTTGTGAACAACATAGTGGCTACTGTTCAGCCGATTTTCTCCAAAATTAGCATTCCCTTATCGCTCTGGCTAATGTCGCGGCCCCTTGAATTTGAAACTGAAATTTTAAATTTACGTATAAGTCACTGAGGCATCTCAAAAAAACTCCCTGACTTTTTTAAGTTTATTACACTTAGTTGTTGGATAGTGTGAAGGTCATTTAAGAGAATGATGCAGATCGCATGTTGGTTAAAAACTCTGATTTTTCGAAAATTATAAAAATTTTTTCCGGTATCTTTCTACAACTAAAATATTAATGGTCGAGATTTTTCCTTTAGTGAAATCTGTTCCTTAAAGCTAAATTTTGAAATATGTTTATGTACAATTATTTGAAGATTTGAGTATATTTCGCGTAAATATAGGCATTTTTTTTATTTCTTTTGAACAGTTTTTCTCAAAAAACAGCACCAACAATTTTGATTAAATTTTGACCTCAGATAGCATATAATACGCTTAAAAGAATTGTTCAGGTTATGTGTTTATTTGAAAATTGCAAAAATTAAAAAAAATGTTTTGGCTTCTTCTTACAACTACAATTATGAAGATATCTTTTCTGAATGAAATGTGTTCAAAAACACATCCTCAAATAAGGTTGTGTTGAATTTTTTGAAAATATTAGGTTTTTTGTTTTTGCAATTTGGCATTGGTCGTTGGATGCTTCATAAGTTAGAATTTGTATATTATTTCAAAATATTTCGTTTCTTACAATCGGGCTTTTGTTATAAGTTTACAAATTAATTTTTTAGAAATTATTTAAAACCTGTTTGATAATCCACATTTTTTTAACCGTGTTGCGAGGAAACTACTACGTATTTGCTTTTCAATTGATGTATTTTCTTTCAAGTAATCTGCAAACCATAATTAAAATTAACCCAACTATGTTTTCGTTTTTAAACATACAATTTAAATGTATTATGAAAGAAAAATTAGCTTTTGGTCAGAGTGCTCCCTTTCTAGTACTAGGTAGTAGTTCTAACAGCAAGGTCTTAATCAATAAGTCAGTCCTTTACTCTTTTTCATGAATTCAATTTTTGCATGGGTGGGTTCACTGTTTGATGTGCATCACGTCCTTCTTTCTTCAGAAGCAGTTTTTAAAAACAAAGTTCATGAAGATATCCTTCAGGAAATGGACATTAGTTTGTTTGTTTTTTTCCAGTGTGTTCCATTTCCGCCTATTAGCTCAATAGTGTCCTTATCCCGATATGTCTGTGGTAGAATTGCATCATGATGTTCTGCGATTCATCTTGGATTGTGCATTTCACTATGGTTCTATTGGTATTATTTTGCTCAAGTGTATAACTGATCAGTAATTCACAAGAGGACACACATATTTAACTGTGACTGCATGCCATTTCAGATATCCACTCATTACAGTCATTCCCCTCATTCTTATCATTTTGCCAGACCCCATTTTAATTGTAAAGTCATTTCTAGGGTAGATAAACAATATTTCAGAATGGTTGTCTCATAACTTTTTCTTACTTGTGATGCAAAACCAATATAGAATTCACTTTTTAGATATAGAATTTCTAATCAGCGACTTAAAATCAGGATTTATTTTTGACACCATTATCATCAGTGAGAACCCCCTCCCATAGATTCACACAATTCACAATATCTGATTACAGGGTATCAATTTTAAAACCTGTACTCCTCTCTTTGATTTTAAAACCTCTCCGAAGTTCCCAAATGTAAGATAATTATTCAAAATTTTCCAATAGCAAACATGTTTAAGCTTTAAACTTTGTCAATGTACATGTGAAATGTTGAATGTCTACCATTGTTTCTTCATACACCATTCATCTTATTTGTTTATGGTACTTAAAACAATGACCTCTCATTAACAATGTAATCTCATTAAGTATCTACTTCAATTTCCACTTGAATTTTGTGAAATTCAATCAACCTTAACATAGTAGCTACTACTCTCCCCTACTGTTTTTACTGTTTATCCACAATAAATTAAGTTAAAAGCAGGTAAAGGTCTTTTGTTATTAAAGACAGGTCAGTGAAGGATTTATGGCAGTGAGGTTGTACAACATTCAGAAACATTACAATAGTAAAAATTCTTTGCATTTTAAGTCATTTCTTAAATATGTTTTCAGTTTATTTCTCATTATCAGTTCACCATTCCTGTAGAAAGAGAACAATCTCTTGAGGTAGGCAACGAAGGAATGAAGTACCAGGAATATAACTGCTTTGAAACAAAATACAATAAATTGTTTCAGTTTTATTATTAAACAAAAAATGATTTCTCTCTGAGTTTCTGAGACAAAACTCACCATTAAAATGACAGAAAAGGATAACAATGTGCCATTCCAATAAATGGTTAATTTCACTGTCTGATATAAACCAGTTTCATATTTTATCAACTTACAAAGTTTGAATTGCAATGGTACACCTCTATTGCCTAAAAATTGTGCAGGTGAGACATACATACATCATGCCAGGACATTCAGAACTCACTTGACAATTGTGAGTTGACTCTTAACTATTGGCCTCTAATTGTCCTTGGATCAGTTCTAAAAGGGGCAAGATGGTACTTTGTTGTGTTGACAACAGAAAAAGGAACAAACCAAAACATAATTGAAGATTTACAAGTTTGTTAAATGAAATCAAAATGACCAAATATGAAGGACACTTTAATGACTTGCATACACTAAATAGCAGGTATGAAGTTTCTGTGCTTCACAGCATCACGCATTATATCCTGATTACAAGTTTGCTCTGCTAAGTTTGTTTCCACAACATTAGTGAAAGTAGTGAACACAGATCTCAATTTTGAATAAAATATTGTCTAATGGTCTATTACCATGGCTGCAGCTGTATAATAAATATTGCATTTTTGACCAGAATTTGATGTGCACATCCTTACAAGACCCACATCTATATCAAGTTTGAAATTAAAATTTTATTAACATGGGGCCAAATGCAATAATATTAAGAATAAATAATTAAACAAGATTCAAGGAAATGATCAGAATATCTTATTAGTAGGTAACTACTTGCATTTTAAAGCTGTAGTAACAAAGATTAGAAGAGCTCAATTTTATTGATAGCATTTTAATACTCCAAATTACAAATCCATTCTTTATTTAAGGAACTGTTTTAAATTCCTTAAAACTGATACCCAATAAGGGATGCCAATTAATTTAAAAACAAAAATTTCATGCACTTTTAAGAACACATACAATAGAGAAAGAATATTCTTTGATACTCAAAACCTGGCCACAAACAATTATTCTGACCAACAAACATTTTGTTACAGAAAATATTAAAGCAACAAATAATATAGATTTTGGAATTTCAATCTTAGACAGACGAAGAAGAAGAAAACAATTTCAATGATACAATTTGAATACAAACAATTGAAATATAAGAACATTATAAAATTTAAAACTTTTGAAAAAAAAAAATCTATAAATACAGTAAATTTTTTATCGCCTTGCATGTTTGCCACACACAGAAATTTAACATTTCATATTTGGAAGTATTTCACACTACAAAATACAATTAATGTGAAGACACAAAGAATTTTTAACAATGATCTTTGGATTAGAAAGCAGTGTATTGAATATGATGAACAAAATTTAACACTTTACAAACATTTGTTCACTCATACTGTTTCTTTCACACTTTCATTTACAACTGACTAGTTCGTGGAGGGAAAAACAAAAACAAGTTTTTTGCGCCTGACAGCTAAACAAATCTCTCTTCTACTTCCTAGGCAGTTGAGTAAGCTCCAAGACTATTGTATTATCATTTCAAGTTTTGCTGCATGAACTAGAAGTCAACAACATGCCATTTTGAACTACCAACAATGTTCCTATACTATTCTGCAGCCATGGTACATAATATTTTGGTTAAAATGTTCTGTGAGGATGATTAATCTAGGAACATTAATTATGTAGGTTACTCTTGAGTTATTTTTAATGTCTACTTACATTCAATACTATTTTATTGATTAAGGTTACTTAAATTAGTTACCTTGATATATCTGAGCTAATTCTATTACCGGCATGAGTGTGTCGGATTTCATTTTACGAGTGCACAATTTTGAAACAGCTGTACAGCATACACATTACAAATATTAAAACACTTGCGACAGTTTGTTGTATTAGACAAGAAGAAAATGTTATTGCCATCTGGTAGAACCAAGAATAAAGAAAACATTTGAATGATCATTTTTTAAATTTTTATTCCATATAGACAGCACGTAGTGCCTAATGCAATGCAATATTTCTATGGATTTTTTCAGCGTAAAAATGTCATTTGCTACAACAAAAAACACATTTAAGTTGAGACAATTACAAGAAACACAGAAAATACTCTTGAAAGTCCTAATATAGTTTGTTATATAACATCAGCTGAAGGACTTTCATCCATGCTTTATGCAAGAGTTTATCAGAACAGAATCAAATGAAATAAGCAAGTTTCTGCTACTAAACAAGATACTCTTCTCCTAGAATTTCTCAGTACATTGCATGAAATAGCTAGTATTTAAACAGATGCTTTGGTATGGATTATGGAAAAGATGGTGACCTCATTTTCTCTATCTTTGGTATTTTTATGATTACATATATGATTAATTTGGGAAGACTTTTAACAAAAAATAAAAAATTGAATTTACAACCAGCATGGTAATCGAGGATTAATATTCTCTTCACAATTAGGAAGTTGGAATGAAATGTAGCAAATCACCATGAGATGAAAGTAGAGGCCACCGCATACATTCAATCTCATTCATTCAATGAATCTCTCGCACTATCTCTCACCCAATTACACAAAATGGATTAGCATACACATAGTTTCTTCTAAAAATAAAATAAATTAGGAACCAAGTACATGTAATGAAGAATGGAAAAAAGAATTTTTTGCATGATATGGCAAAATTTGTACACAGGCGAGAAAACAAGACAGGATCATTTTAATATCTACAAAATATACATGTTAGTGCTTCATAACAATCTGACGATTTCCTTACAAAAAAATAAGATTTTGGCCCAATTTTTCTTCCCATAGGATGTGTCCATCAAAGTCTTGGTATTTACAAGGCATGTGTTGCAGTCTTTGGAGCTGACATCAAACTGAGCGAGGGTAGTTTATGAACTGTGTACTGCACAAAAGTCATGTATATTTCACGGCATATATACCACATGTACCATTATTTCCCAGATAAATGTAGGTTAAAGAGAAACATAAGTTTTTTTACCTTAATTGCATAATAAAAGAAAACGGTTATCGACATATTTTTCTATTTCCTGTCATGTAATGTAATGCCAATGGCTGAAGAAATTTAAATACAAAGAACAAAACTCTTAAATAACCTGAGGATATTTGGTTTTGTGAGTGTGAATTATTTTTGGTAATGTAGCTGCATAATATAAGCTAAAAAGTACTAAAAATTGAAAGCTATTGTGAACCGGAATGTGTCATACTTCCTCTCTTCTATATCACTGTCGACTAGCATGCAACAGAAACAAAAGAGCATTTTGTAAATGAGGTAATATTCCAAATGCCCACCCAATAGGCAGAAACATTGGCCAGAAAACAAACAAAATGTACAAACTGATTTGTCCTTTCATTTGAAAACAATTTTTATCAATCTTTTCTACTGCTAAAGCCACTCCTTCCTTTCATCAGTCGATTGTAATCAGCAGTCGTAGTTATCTAGACATCAAACCGATTACATTTCTTGTGTCTTCGAGCCCAAGAAAAGCTCCTACAATAGGTCCAAAGTTTCTAGCTGAATACATACTCTCTGCGAGGCTTAAAAAGGCAATACGATGTCACAACACTGACATGGTTGGTACCTTGTAAAAATATAGTGCTCACATCAATCAAACTTGCCAGATTTATACTGCAGAAAATATACAGTCTTCACCAGGAAAATAAATAATAAGCAGAAGAAAATTGCAACGTTGCACAGTCACTTTCACTATATCTGCTTCACTGCTTCCATTTAACAGCTGTTTCTTTGAAAGGTATCTTCTATATAGTACAATAAATACATATTTAAACATAATAATAGTAATAACATGAGGAAACTATTCACAAGCCTGGTTTGGCAAACACAGTCACTGCTGCGAGTGTCGATGCGTGCTTGAAGGAGCTTCTCCTACTCGAATAAATTGGGGGTCGTTTTCCCTCTCTTCTATAGGTGCTGTGGGAATATCCTAGAAAACAGAATACAATTTTGGGTGAGCTTTTTAAAATCTATTATTGTCATTAATATTTTTATACACTCATCAGTATTTTTATATACTAAACTTACAGGTGAATTCTGATAATGTGAAGGTGGTCTTCGAATGGAGATTTCCATTGGATCTCGGCTAAAAGGTCGTTTCTCTAAATCGTGACTGCTACCGTCTACACATCTGCAAAACAAAAAATAGAATGAACAAAACCTCTTAGGTATGTTTCCATGCTATAAATATTTTTTTATGAGCCAAGTTATTGTCAATTGAAATAGCAAAGTCAACTTATCAAGTAATTTTTTTCTACTTACGTGGCACGGCTTTCTTTCAATTTCCTTTGAAAGTGGATGTACACTGCTATACACACGAGGACAACAAGGAACACTGCAATCGTTGCACCTCCAGCGATGCTTGCTGTCTCTAACATAACTCGTTGTCGTGATGCTGTAACAGGAGAAAAAGCTTATTACATTTCTATAATAAAAATTTACTCTTGTATGAATGTTGAATACTACGACACACTATGTTCAACAACATATTAGATATTCATAGTATTATGTAAAGAGATAGGAAACATTATTTTATTAAAAAGAAAAAAAGTCTCTGTCCAACTTAGCTGTTGGAAGTCAGAAGAGTTAGTCAATAAAACTGGAACACACAGAAAAACTTTCAGAAGATTAGACTTATTAGTAGATAGATGTATAAGAACGCATTTCAGCAATATACTAAACAGATTTTCTTACGTAAGTATGATCCATCCAGGTCCTTGAATTCGCACCTCTGCCCCATATATCCATCTGCACATCTGGAAACAGAAATTAGTATTATAGACGCTTCCTATCAAACATTTTTTAGCAATGCATCTCCACTTAAAATTGCTAAGTTAACAATAGGTTATCATATCTCGCACTGCATTATTATAATGAAAAACCTAACAACTTTGATTTAATTTATAACCAAATATTTCACTTTAATTTCCCTTACAAATTTTTCTTTCTAAATGTGAACGTAATTTCTACATGACGATAAGCCAACCCAAACGCGTTGTAAATACTGACAAAATCGAGAGCTTCAAAGATAGAATAGTGGGTCAATAATCCCTCCGGCGCTTGGACGACCACGTTCCACTCATCTCTTCCTCCCTCAACAACAAGAGAAATAGTTCCAAGAACGTGGGAGCGGCTAGTTCTGGAACGGGGCGATACCTCACAAACGGGTGACGGGGTGGGGGAGTAGGAATTACGGAAAGGTACCAGAGCGACCACCGAGTTGGAGGGCACCGAACGTATTGCTCGCCAGACAGTTCAGGTGCAGCACAAAGGAAGAAACCTTCAACGCGAGAAGAATTCGGCGGAGCACCGCGCGCGAACGCAGACT